GGATGTATTTTAACTATTTATTCTCTCTTTTTAAACTATATCATCACTATTTATTGACTATTTTAAACTTTGTTGAAACTCATTTCAGTAATTTATTACATGTTTTTTACCTATATTGCCACTATGTTTTAACTATTTCATATATATTTATTAACTATGTCGAAACTATATATTTTTAATAATTTCCTTAAATAGTCCTATTTTTATTTTTTTTGAAACTTATTTAATTTCTATTCGAGTACAACAATTAAGTATTTGTTTATAAAAATATATCATGAATAGGAAAAAAATATGGTTCCATTTGGATAGGAAAAAAATAGCCTTTCTACCCTAATTTAAATAGGAAAAACCTTGAGAAAAAATAATAGTAAAAATAGGAAATAAATACTTTTACAAATAGGAATTAAATATCCATTAAATAGTGTTTGATTCTACAAGGGATGGAGAATAATAGAATGCTATCAATTGCTTAGCATAAAACAGTAACAGAGAAATGATAAGAAAGTCATATAATTGCTTTAAATTTGTATTAATAACTTCTTTAGCTGAAGGCTCGATCAGTCGATCACAATGCCAATGGTAATTTCTATTAAATGTATACTGTAAACAAAAGCCCAAGTAAATAAAAGTTCACAGCCGTAAAGTTTGAAATATTTATTGCAACAGTGCAATTTTATAGTCTGTACCTTTATATAGTTATAGCTTGCAAGTCTAGTTCCTGCAAGTCTAGTTCTTCAACGCTTCGGTTGTTGACATGTTAATATTGGAATTTCCATGGACTTTAAATAAGGCATATGTCATATATACCAAGAATGACAGCATGAATTCATGCCCGGATGACAGAAGAATATTAATATTAGTCAATTCAACAAAAACAAGTAGCAAATAGCTTTCTTGCACGAAATCGACCAAGAACTGCCAGGCGTCTCGCAGAGTAGCAGTTCAAGTGCACTCTTCCCATAGTTCCCATCAGCCCCTTCGCCATCTCTCCCCACTACAATACTTCATGTAAACTCGTCACATGCGCATCACTGTTTTTTTACAAAGAGTTGCCTAGGTACGAGGTAGCCAATAACATGTCAAATTAAACTTTAAAACGACTATCGCTGATCTGGCGTATCTCATTTATAGATGATCTCACACACTTATTACTATTAATATTCAAAGTAGACTTCAAGTGCTAATATTATATTATATCCATATCTTACCACAAGCCATAATAGTTAATAAAAATATGCGTCAGCGAGCTGTGAAACACGGTAAAAATACTCTATGGTATCTTAAGGTATTGTATGATATCCTAAGATATTGATATGCTATGATACTGTAGGACATCGTAAGTAAGATACTGCATAATTCGTTCTTGAGATATTGACATTCTAAGATATTGTATGATATTCGGAACCAATCTCGACAGGCTTGGAGTCACAATAAATAGGTCGTAGTTGTGACGAATTTTTCCTCAATTCGTCGACGTGAGCACCGGCACACAAGCAATGTTTTCTTAAAATGCTAGTAATCATTGGTCCACACTCTTTAAATACATTACAAGCGCGTGGAATTGATACGGAATTATACTGTGACAACGTCATGGGTGTTGCTTAGTGCAACACCCTGCCATAGATTAGGAAATGAATATATTGATGGCTCATTCTTTTGATATTTTTGACGATGCCGGCACCCACGCATGTTCTTGCCAGAGTAATGGCGGCCTAGCAAGTAACTGTAGTAAAATGCATTGTGAAATTGACATCGGTGCTACAAAATCCTGTATTTTTATAATTCTGATTTACTTTCCATTAAAACCCCGAAAGCGGAAAAATACAGGATTTAATAAAACGGATGTCAATTTTACAATACATTTTATTTTTGTTCTTGTTAGGCCACCATTACTCTGGCAAGAACATGCGTAGGTGCCGGCAGCGTCAAAATCGTCAAAGGAGTGAGCCATCTATCCATTTCCTAATCTATTATGACCCTGCCCAGAACCTCCCTTCCCCATACTGCTAGAGTTTACTTGGAGTTCAACTTGGTTTATTTCATATGTATATCCAATCCAGCAAAATTTCCACGTGGGCAGATAGGTAAGTGTAGTCTCCAGAAGACAGACTTCCTATTAATGTATAGTGTTAATTAACTAAATCTATAAGATTGGGTGCGGAAATGCTTTAATTGTTGTCATGTAAGCAAGATACATTAAGACATTTAGAATTCTGAAGATGGAATAAAGAGTTTCTGTCAAAAAACGTAAAATACTTTAATTTGCACTGGATTGTTCACATGATTAAGATCAGTGCATTCATCAATCGCGTTGTCATATATAGGCTCCAAGAAGGCTCGGCTGGCACATTTCTAGCACATCGTTTGGAAATGTTTTACGCTGGTTGATATATGGCAAGTTTTCTTAAAATACTGAAGAAAATAAGAAGAAATGCTCGAATTTTTGAAGATTCACACAATAATTTTAAATGCAAGTGTTGGACTATAGGTAAGAAGTTGCTGCATGTATGTATACTCCGTATGGTATGGGTCGGTTCACTTCAAAATCTCCACTCTCAAATAATTTCTTCCGAGAAGGGATGTTTATCTATTATTTGCTGATGCCATTAAACTTACACGAGTACTGTTTGGCAAAGCATAGACGTGTGGCGCGGGGGGCATGGTGGTAGGGGCATATACCCCACCCCCAATTTTTACGGTCGGGCAGAAATCCATGCGTCATTTGGAAAACATAAAAATTTCGGAAAAATTATGTTACGTCCAGCAAAATTTTTGTATGTGTGCGAAAGTTACCGGATATAAGGAAAATGTTTTGGTATGTTCGTAAAATTTTTTGTATGTTTGCAAAAATTAGATAATGTTAGGTTTTGGTTTGTCCGAAAAAAAAATGTGACTTCCCCCAACCGCTCGCCAACTATTTTGGGAGAAATACTATAATTAGCGACGGTCGGGCAAACTAATACTGTGCCCCCCCCTCCCAAGCAAGATTTGGGGGCATAGATCAAAGTTAAATAAATTGAAATAAATTAGTAATTATAAATAGATAAAATTAAGTACCTGTAGTTTACCAACGTCAAGGCCGTTCATGTTGTAAAAAAAGATGAGACAGGATTTAGATTTTGTTGTTGATGGCGAGATAATTCGAGCTGTATCGTTGGGACGCCTTGGTAACGACGTTTCGATGTATATATACTGACTTAGTGCTAAAATGAGAAACGTGATGTTGGCTTATTAAGCCCCAAAAACTGGAGAGAGTAGATTTGAACAACATGAGCCCCACCTTTGAATTTACTATACGAGTAAATTGTTAAACACGTCCGAATTTATCAATATAATAAATTTGCCACACATTTTGAAATTATCAATGCAATAAATTCGCGACTTCAAATAAAACCACAAGTATTAGGCAAGAGTTTTGTTATAAATGTAACTGCACTAAAAAGCAGGCAGGTCGTGCCGGGGTGGGAACATTTTTAAAGAAATTTGGATTAGTGTCAGATAAAGATTATATCAGGGTTAGGTTAAGAATAGGGTTAGGGGTTAGCAGGGTTAAGATTATAGTAGGGTTAGGTTGTATATACCACAGTTAGGTTAAGATTAGGGTTAAACATGTATCGCGAATTTATTGTATTGAAAAATTCGAACGTCCTTAACAATTTACTCATTTAGTAAATCCAAAGGTGGAGCTCATGCTGGATTTCAGGGAGCTAGTAGAAAAGCGGATGTAAGTGTATGGTGTTGGAGCGCTGTGGTTAGAGAATATGACAGTTAGAGAATATGACTCCGCTACCAAGGATCGATTTCTGGACTATGCAGTTGCTTCTGCCTTGTACACAGGCGCTTCAAATAATTATAATACATGAAGTATTCAGACAAGCTGGCAGATAAACAAGCGAAGCGCGATGGGGCTGTTGGGAAGGGTGCGTCGTGGGGGAGCGCCTGGCAGTTCTTGCGTGCTGTCATGGAAAACAAACATGGAATTTAATACCAAACGTTACCATATTTTTATACACTCTGTGTGCAAAACCTTACTTTTTGGTGAAGAGTTGAATTAAACGCCATTGGCAAATAATACTAAATTTTATAAATGTTTGATAACATGCAAAAACGCGAAAAATTATTTGTAAATTACATGGCAACAGGCAAGTTAACCGTGCGAATACTTTTTTTCGAATATATAGATGAAGTCATTCAGTATTTAAATAATGTTCACTGACGTAATGTTTGAAGTATTAATTAATAATATCAACCCTCCGGTTGTTGACATGTTAACATTCCAAGACTTCGAATAAGGCATGGCATATGTCAAATGTACCAATAATATCATCATGAATTCACGCCCAGATGACAAAAGAATATTAATATTGGTTAATACAACAAGAAAAAGTAGTGAACTACAACGAAATATCACAACTTGCGAGAAATCGTACTTTGTTGCAAGAACTCGACCAACAACTCTCTGGCGTCTCGCATTTCAAGATCACTCTTCCCGTCAGCCCCTTCGCCCTTTTCGCTTCATTACAATACTTCATGTAAACTCGCCGTATGCGCATCGCTGTTATTTCGCAAGGAGACGTCTGAGTACGATGAAGCAGTTTTTTATCTTAATTTTACTAAACTTGCTTGTGATGAAAAGAGTGTTTTTAGTTTTACTCTTCCCAGCAGCGCAGGTTTTTCCACGGTAGTTTGGGTATCTAACTTGATGTAAGTAGTTGTTGAAGGTACTTGTTGATGGAAATTTTGATTAAAATGTTTCTACATTTAACAGACCTAACCTTGGCTATTTACGAAAAATGCGAACATTGTCGCTCTTCAAGGAATGGAACCTTCGGCCTGCATACAATTTTAGCGCAGCGCTCTAAGCGACTGAGATACGAAGAGACATTTATAGTGCTCTGACTACAAGTCTACGCTGTACATTGACATCACCTTAGTTTTTATACGTTAACTTGTGGTTAGAGCTTGGCAAATTCGTCTTTGTTGCTAAGTTAGTTAGAGAGTTAAACCTGTATCCCACGGTGACAAAATCGAATCTTGCCAGAAGGCCGAGAGACAAATAAGGAATGGTCTTTACTTTCAGAATCTTTATAAAGATTATAGAACCTGACTAATAAGATCTACACAGTTTTTATTTAACAAAGGCGATATCTGGACAGAGAAATATTCGACCGGGGTCTTTTTGTACAGACCGAGCCAGTAGGGCAAGATAGTCGCACAAAAAAAGGAAGTCCGATATTTCTCTTTACATACTGAGCAAGCGAAGCCAATAAAAATTTATTATATGGCATTTAAAAGCATTTATACTTGAAACAAATAACATGTCAAGAAATGCATGATTCGAGTTGCTTAAAGTAAACAAAAATACCATCCATTTTTTCTTTTCCAATAAAAACCATTCGAAGATATCTTATTAATAACAAATTTAATTATAATTTTCAAATTTTCAGTTTTGCTGTTTTGTTTTAAAATGTATGTGTTTGTTTTTACGTAATTGACCGCCTACGGAAAGTAATTAATGAAGCACTGTAAGTGCTTCTCCGCCAATCATAGTCCATCATTTACCCGGAAGTTATGCTTGCCATATAATAAATACATTTAGTGATTGAGCAATGGAAGAACAAGTTAAAAGTGATAAACGTTTCCAAAATAAGTAAAGATATTAAAAGTATATGACTTACAACAACTTTTTTGCATATTAAACGACTTTATAGCTTGCATTAACTTTTACTTTTCCCTCTACGTAATTAAGAGTGGCAGCTATATAAAGTGGCAGCTATATAAAGCACTAAGGATATACTTACACGGCACAAACTCGAAGAAGTTTTGTGACTCTGGAAGATTACACGCTGAATCAAGCACAAGTTTCACATTATTGCTCGGGTTTGACCCTCCTGTTTCAGGCTTAAGACACATTATATTTTTGTACTGCAGTGCTCCATGGGCAGTCCAAGTCCACTTGTCTGTCACTTCACAACTTTCGAAAACACCCACCTTTGAAAAGAAGATGTATGTAGGTATGTTTGTAGATAAATGGGTTTCGATCGGTATTGGCAGGTTAGTAGGTGGTATAGGTAAGTAGGTAGCTTGATAGGTAGTTCCTTTGGTTTGTTGGTTGAATTGGTTGGCTGCTTCGTTGGTTGGTTGAATATAATTTACAATATTTACTATAACTTAGAGTGTTTCTATTATCGTTGTTTTTGGTAACTTAAGTAATCCTATTTGCAACTGAGCTGTTCCTTTCGCTAAAGTATACAATCCTTTTAGTAACCTATATTTTCCTTTTCGTAACCCATATTTTCCTTTTAGTAAGCTATGTGTTTCTTTTGTTAACCCAATGTTCCTCTTGGTAGGTGAGTGTGCATGTATGTGGGTGGGTGGGTATGTAGGTAGGTCGATTGGTAGGTAGGAAGGTAGGTAATTAGGTAGGTAGGAAAATCAGTGATCAATAAATCTCTAACCGAGTTCACTTACCTTCACTCCATCAGTTAAAGGTCCAGTAGCAATAGGTTTTACACACATGCGATGTCTAGTATGCATCAACGTTCCATTTGGCCATAGCAGGAACTCCAGCCTATCTTTCCCACACGTTCGGTATAACACAAGGTTTTCTCCATCGTTTGGTCTACTAGAACCCTCCATGAGAATATGAATGCATTTGCCGCTTCGATGTCGTAATGATCCCGGACCTTGGGTTTTGTTCGTCAGATAGGCTAGTATAAAAATTATAAAAGTATTTGTTGCATAAAAAAATATCAATGCATTTCCTCGGTTAATTTTGCCAATATGTCGCAATTTTATAATAGCGGCAATTAATTAATACACATGTTTTTATCAGTGTATAACAATGTATCATTGTATTTCAGTTCACGATATCGTAAAAAGTACTCGATGCGTTAAAGATTGAGAAAGAACATTTGATGTCCATGGTGATGTTCTCTTCGTGCATTCTCAGCGAGATTTAAATATTTTAAAAGTTATTCTAATATATAGTGTTGTATTGTCAACTTGTCAAGTTCTGATATTTTCTGTGTTGGTGTAATGTATTCAGGTGAATAAGATGCTGTATGATGTTACTCTGAGTGTATATCCACACCGGGCAGGCTTGAAAAATATGTCTGGCCACGGTGGAATTCGAACCTACGACCTTTGGAATTACTAGCCCAACGCTCTGTATCTGCCAAGTTCTTGAACTTAGTATGCTTCTATGTCTTTGCAGATGGTGCTCATTTTCTAAATACTCCAACCCATATATAAATTTGTACTTTATTGTCCCCAAAAGACAAAGCAAGAAGCCAGTTTTTATTGCTATTTAAAACAAGAAACTTCCCGCGCTTGCATCTCAGCCAATCAGCTACAAGTAATTTTACGCTGAATTAAGAACTGATATGCCCCTATCGTCAGGCAATGATATTTCTATATGATGAAAGTTAGAAATGTATCAGAGAAAGGATCTTTACGCAAAAATCAGTAGATATAGAAAGGGATAGTAGTGGTGATCACAGTGGTGATATTTGTTGTGGTGGTGATAATGATGAGTGCTGATGATGCTGGTGATAGTGGTGGCACAGTTGGTATTTGTATAGTTATGTTGATAAAATAATGGTAGTGGTACTTCTGCCAACAGAATATGACACTCACTCTTTGTATGATCCCTAGCTGGACCCGTGTCGAAAGAATGTGTAGGACCTTCGTGTCTGGTCCAATTGAAATCATCATTAGAATCTTGAGTCCATTTGCACCTGCTAGGACCATCAAAATTGCAGGAAAATATATCATTTGCTAAAACATAGAAAAATTTTACAATCAAGTATATTTGTTTCTCCGAAAACATATCAGGTATTCGGGCTTTCATTTTAAATTGACGAAATCATATTAACCAGCATGACCAGGTGGCCAAGTGGTTAGCGCACTTGCCTTTCACCTCGTGGTTAGCGCACTTGGTTAGCGCACTTGCCTTGCCTCGGTGGCCAAGTGGTTAGCGCACTTGCCTTTCACCTCTAAGGTCGCAGGTTCAAATCTCAATGAGAATTTCTCAATGTGATTCAAACCCAGTTCTCATGTGAAAAGAGTAAAAGTCAACGCTCTGCCGAAGGTCGTGGGTTTTCTCTGGGGACTCCGGTTTCCTCCCACAGGGAAAGTTGACAGGGTGGGTTAGGCACGTAGGTTAGGGGGCAGATCGTTAATGAGGTATGGACTAATAGCGTCTGCTTAAAGCGCCATTTGTAAGCTCACAGTCTACCTCGGTCTGCGTCACGCCAGTATCGGCTGTACTTGTAATGCGCACTTGATCATATACATATGTAAAATCGCGCAATAGAAATATTAAATATCAATTAAATATCAATAATTCTCTTTCACATCACAAGCCAGTCTCGTCACCGCGAGCGGTTGACGGCTTTGTATTTTCATATCCTTAGTTCAGTGCATGCTATGAAGACAGAAATACTACCATTCGATTCAGAAATATAAGATTCAACTCTTTACTCCGTATAGTTATAGTCATTTTCAAAATTGTAGCGGCTTATGGGCCTTTAAAAGTCAAACACGGTCATATTGTATCAAATTACGCAATTGTCTGAACAAAAATATAGACTAGATATAATTTCGCCGAAAATAACTTCGGCCCCTTCGAACATTATTATTATTATTATTAAAACTTATTTACAAACAATAACCCTTCAGCCTACGCTGCTTTTAAAGGGGTTGTTTACATAAAAGAAAGTACAAAATAAATATTTACAAAATAGTATAAGTATTTACAAAATAGTGTAGTTGACTAGGTGTCTTTACAATTGGATATTTTTTCAACGTAGGTGATTGTTGAGCTTAGTTTTAAAAGAATGTATCGTCAACTGTTCGTGAACGTCTAAGATTTCGTTTGGTAATGAGTTCCAGGCGGAAGCTCCTCGATATGAAAATGACTTTTTCATAAATGATCTATTAGGTTTATCGAGAGTTAGTTTCCGCCCGTTGCTCCGCATGTGGTGACTTCTATTATCACAGTAGGAGAACATATTACAGATGCACTCCGGCACTATACCTCGGATAGCCTTAAACGTAATTAGAAATTCTCTTTTTTTAAGAATGTTATCTATTGGATGCCAACCTAGACTCTGGAGGATTGTTTTTGATCTTGTGTCATAGTTTAATCCAGTAATTATACGAGCGGCTCGCTTTTGTAATTTATAAAGTTTTTCCAAATTTGTTTTGTTTCCATCGTTCCAAACTGTCGAACAGTATGTAAAGTAAGGAACTACCAGGGAATTGTAAATACGGAGTAAGTCGTTGTAAGGTACATGTGGTTTTGCCTTTCTAAGCAGAGCTATTGCACTTGAAAGTTTTTTGCATTGCTCATTAATGTGTTCAGTCCACCTTAGTTCGTTATCAATTGTAATACCTAAGGTTTTTTTTTGCTTAACTTGTTTAATAATGGATCCGTTTATATGTATACGAATATCAGTGCGAAATTGATTAAGTTTTCTTTTTGAGGCTATTATCATAAATTCTGTTTTGTCTGTGTTCAATGTCAACCTATTTGCTTCTAACCAGTCGTTAACATTGGATAAGTCAGCGTTTAGTTTGTGCTCGATTTCGGCTGGGGTCCTTCCTGTGCATGATAGATTGGTGTCATCAGCAAACATGGATGCTTGTGTGTACTCAAGGCACATTGGTAAATCATTTATGTACAATGAGAATAGCAATGGTCCCAGATTGGAACCCTGTGGTACTCTACATTGAACTGTTTCTTGGCCTGACTTGTTGTTATTAATGACACAAACTTGTTTTCTGTTGTTTAAGTAAGATGCTAGTAATTTTAGAGGAGTACCCTTTATACCATATTGGTATAGCTTTTGTAGGAGAATAGAATGATCAACCGTGTCAAACGCTTTTTTAAGATTCAAAAATAGCACTCCATTTGCCATTCCTTTATCCATGTTGAGTAGCCATTGATCTGTGCATTTTAATAGGGCAGTTTCTGTAGAATGATTTGGTCTAAAGCCAAATTGCTGTTTACAAATGATGTCGTTGTCATTGATATATGAACTTAATTGGTCGTATATAATCTTTTCAAGGATTTTGGCGACAGTAGGAATTACAGATATAGGCCGGTAGTTTCCGCATTCCGCCTTGTCACCTTCTTTATGAATAGGTATTATTTTAGCAAGTTTTAAATCATCTGGGAAAATGCCAGTGCCCAGTACAAGGTTAAAGATATGTAGTAAGTAGTCGTGAATGGCATCTCCTGCTAGTTTAATTAGTTTAATTGGTATTTTGTCTAGACCTGGGGCCTTGTTTAAGTTAGTTTTCCCAATTGTTTGAATTAATTCTGTTGTTGTTATTGCTCTTAAGTTAAATTCACATCTACAAGGTTGAATAGGTTGTATAGGGTCTATGTCTGTAGGAGAAATAACGGAAGCAAGTTTGGGTCCAATTTCTACAAAGTAGTTATTAATTGTATTTGCTATGTTGATATCACCTGTAATATTTTGGTTCCAAATTTAATGTTATTGATCGTCTGAGTTTTGACCGTTTTGTGGTTTAGCAGTTTGTTTATGTGAATCCAGTTTTCTTTGCAATTTTTGCTGCTTTCGAGATTGGTTCTAAAGTAGCGAGTTTTTGCATTGCTAATAAGTTTAGTTACTTTGTTTTTACATTTTTTTGTATGAACTATGAAAGGCAGAGGAATTTAACATGACTGCTTTCTTTTTTATGTAGTCTCTGTGAAAGCTCATGATCAGTTTTTTAATTTCATCAGTCATCCACGGTTGTCGGTCACTTCTCACTTTTCTCAATCGTATAGGAGCATTTATATCAGCTATCAGTAGAAAAATTCTGTTCCATTCCTGTAGGGCCGTATTTGGATCTGAATGTTCATTAATATGTAGTAAAGCTTGTTTTAAATCGTTTTGGAATTTCGCATTATTTAGTTTATGGTATTGCCTTGTTTCAATAATTTTGGGTTTTTGTTTACATATTCCGACCTTTCTACAAGTGTAGACTAGGTTGTGGTCGCTTATACCTAGCTCAACAACGTCCGTTGTAGCGGGTTTTGGGTCGTCAGTTTTACAAATTACTAAATCTAAGAGCGTCTTCGTTGATTCTGTTGTTCTAGTAGGCTTTTTAATAAGTTGAGACAATTGATATGTGTTTAGTAATTCTTTAAGCCTTTTTGCCTTACTATTCTCGGTCTCACTGGGCATTAAATCTATATTAAAGTCTCCAGTTATTATAATTTCTTTATTTTCTGTGTCAATGTTTTGAAGAAAGATTTCAAAAGAGTCGAGAATCTCAGAATTGGAGTTTGGTGGTCGGTACCACGTCGAAATGAGTATTGGCTTGGCATTCGGCTTTCTTACTTCGATACATACTGCTTCTACATTTTCAGGGATTATTGTTGACCTCTCCACGTATGGTATGGTATTACGTATATATATTGCTACACCCCCACCGCGTCTATTTCTGTCACGTCTTGTTAAGTCGTATCCCTGAAGTCCTATTTCTGAGTTCTTAATTGTTTTGTCAATTCTTGTTTCATTAATACATAGTATGTCAAAGTTCATTTCTGTTATGAGAATCCTGAGTTCGTCAATGTGTTTAGTCAGACTGGTAATATTTAACTGCGCAATTGAAACGCCCTTAAGTTTTGGATGTAGTTTGCTTTGGTTATCCGTTGATACTGCACCGGAGTTTCTAATAGGTTCTTGCATCATTAGGTTTTGTGTATTAACATTTAGTCAATTTTGATTACTTACATACAGTTTGAAGTTCTTAGCTAGGACCGTCGAACCTCTTGGGTTTAAGTGGAGTCCATAGTTATTTAAATGTTCTTTCTTTATATTTAAATGTTCTTTCTTTATCCCAGAGCCTCGCGTTTCTTCCCGAGGATCGCAGGCTCGGGGAACGAGATTGGGATTCTACAAGTTAAATTGCAGCTACACGCTTCTTGTTGGCCAATTATTGCGCAATGTACGCGAGTGCGAGTGAAACCCGACATCTTGAAAAATTGACAATAAATATTTTTACTCGCCGTATTCAAACGAAATTTTGTACACGAAAGCGCTTGAATACAAAGAGTATTTTACACATATAGCCGTTCCGCAAATGACGAAAAGTTCAAGAGATATTCAAGATTTTCTGGACATAAAATTTAGAATCTTTTGCCTAGCGGTGAGTAAATATATGATTGTTTCGGTTTGTGCAATGTTTTGACGGCCCTTTACACCCCGTTCGAAAGATCATTTTGTGAGGATTTCAATGGCGTCTTTTATTTAATGGGTGGGGGGGGGGAGGCAAATATTCGCGAAGATATTTATATTATAAAAATTGGGTCGTAATATGATCCGAAAGGGGGTGGACGAGAAAGAGCAGAATTACTTATTATACCTAACGTTTCCATAAACCAGTGTAGTGTCACCTCTAGGGATCAGGGGCGAAGCTTGGGGCGGGAGGCGTGTGACACCACCCAAAGTACAAATGATCTGAATTGGCAGGGCAATGAAAGATTTTAAATGATAGAATGTAGAGTTATTAAGTAGTTTCCAGGGCTTCCAGAGAGAATTGAATTAATAGAATTTATAGACCTAAATTTTACAGATATTGGTAAAAAATAAGGGTTTCATGTATGTTTTAACAGGAATATGTCCGAAAATTTTTTCGCCCCTTTTTTGAATGTCCGGATAAAAAATGTTTCGACCTCGCCAACATTTTTGGGAGAAATAGTGGTCAAAAACATTTTTGCTGCAGAGCATCATCGGCTTTCGCAGGGCAATTCTAGCTGACACCCCCCTAATTGAAAGGGGCTAGTTTTGCCCCTGATAAGGATGTGCAACTAATTATTCATATGTATAGGTAATATCATGGTTTCGAGGGTAATTGGGATATAATATGCACGAGTGAGTTTGAGGTCTTTGAAAAATTCACGTACTAGTGCACGCCATGCGCTATTACTTATTAATAATTTATATAAAAGTGTTCGAGACAATTGTAGTTTTAACTTGCGCATTTATAGCAAACATTCTAAACTTGCCACCTTGAACGAAACGCGAGGCCGACTTGTCATACTTGCAGCGCGCCAAATTTTACTGACTCAAAAATGGGTCAGTAACGCTGATCCATATATACTGTGAGCTTCATCTGTTGATGATCTCTTCAACCAATCAGAGAAGCGCAAAAGAGACATGCTGACGTATTTATAAATAGACTTCCGGAAACAAGGAATTAATTGCGCAGTATTTCGTGTTCGGCCCTTCAACACTATATCTGTGGTTTCTGTGTTTACAATTTTAATACAATTAGGCATTTTCTAAATGGAGAATTTGGTTTCAAAGGCGATTGAAAAGGCATAGCAGTTTTCTGGCTATTTCGAGTTGAAAGAGTATCGACGGCAGACCATTAAAGCCTATCTAGGTGTTGCTCATTAATGGTTTGATAACTACCTAACCAATAGAAAACAAATTGTTAAGCCAATGACACTAATGCTCGTATTCTAAAAGCTCACTCACACTCAATGAGTGGAGGTTCAATCTGAGCTTCTCTTGAGTGTCAATGCTGTTTATGAATAGCTGGAGGGTGAGTAGTCACCGCGTAAACACTAGCCCCCGCTACTGTTTAAAACAGCATTAACACTCAAGAGAAGCTCAGATTGAACCTCCACTCAATGAGTGTGAGTGAGCTTTTAGAATACGGGCGTAAGTCTGAAGCAAAGGCAATAACTAATGGTGTTCCTGAAGGCTCAATTTTGAGGCCACTATTATTTTTATTGTACATAAATGATATTTAAAATTGCAGCAAACCAGTTTCCAAAATATGTTCGCAGATGACACAAATATTTTCCATCGCCATTCTTGCTTAAAAGAGTTAAATTTAATCATGCAAGACGAAATAAATAAAATAGCAGATTGGATTAGCAGCAATAAACTATCACTAGAGACATCAAAACAGAATTTATTTTATTTAAATCATGAAATAAAAGGAATAAACATAATACAATAATATTGATAAATGGACTACCAATAAAACAAGTTAAAAATACAACTTTCCTTGGTGTCGTTATTGATGAACAGTGGCGTAGCAAACTCGATAATTGGGGGGGGGGCACATATTCATCAATTCGTGTTCACTGACCTTAGAAACAATTGATTTCAAAAGAAATTAATAAGGCAGAACACGAATATATGAATATTTGCCCTCCCCCCATTATCGAGTTTGCAACGCCACTGTTGATGAACGCTTAACATGAAATGATCATATTGATTTAAGTTATAAAATCTAAAGGAATAATTTCCAAAATTCGACATTTCACAAGTATTAATACTCTTAAACTAGTCTATTGTGCATTAGTTTATCCTTATTTAATATACGAAATTTGATTTGGGGAAACACATGTAAGAAACGACTAGAGATATTAATAAACATTCAAAAGAAAATAATACGGGCCAATACGGTTAATGACGTTCAAGTCATATTCTGAGCATTCTGAACCACTATTCAATGAAGCAAAGATTCTTAATATTGAAAAAATTAATGATTTTCTAATCAGTTTATTCATGTTTCGATGGCTAACTAACTAACGCAGTAAATGGCTAACTAACGCAGTATCAGACAGAGCAGTTCACATTGATGAGGAAGGATAGATCACATTGTAGTAAAAGTATAGGCAGTGGAATATGTCCTGATGTCCATCATTCGATTCCAGCAGGAAGACTGACTAATTTTTAACTACCAGGTCTCGAGACTTTGTGGATCCAACTGAAACCATATCGCCTTCCACGCCATACCTCTACTATTCTACTCGGCGTAATTTATCACCCCCGTCGGCTAAGCCCGAAGCAGTGATGTTTTTCAGGGGGAACGCGGAAGAAAGCCGTCCCCCCACCTTTTTTCCCAGGGGAACGGCGTCCCCCTTGCCAAAATCAAGCAAGGGGGAACGGCGTTCCCCCTGGCAGAGATTAAATATGAGTGAAGTTCAATAAACGCCGTTCGACACCGTCTAAATAATTTTGGCTATCACTTGTACTACATACGTGTTATTTTTGGCAATAATTGCTCCGCATCCTACGTAGAAATACTTCAGAACGTAATTTTGTCACTATTTTAATCTCCCTGAAACTTGATATCCTTGCAGAAAATTCTAGCAGACAAGCACAAAAATACTAGAGTCTGATAATTCACGTAAATATCACGTATAAGTACTTATTGTCATGAGCGCGGATAACGGCAGGATATAATTAGTATAGTCTTTCCCGCAATCGCGAAATTAAACATTAAAATGAACATTAAAATGATCGATAGGAACATCAAATGATTCAATAACAACATTAATTTAACATGATTACATGGGAAAAATTCATACTCGCGAAAACGTCATATTTAACTTGCAAAGTCGCCTGCTTGACGAGTTGCCGGCTTGCCGCATACTCAGTGCTCACAAATTCGAAAGTCAACGTGGTTTTATTGGCTTTTTTACATCTACCGCGAGCAAGTTAGGTGTTTTTTTAGCTAACATTACTAAATCCACTTCAAAGATTACACTGTGACTATGCGTGAGGCCACGCCCAATCGAGTGACCACGCCCATTTGATTTTCAAGAGCGTCCCCCCACTTCTAAAATTAGCCAAACATCGCTGGCCCGAAGATAACTAGTTACTGATTGAACATGTAAATTCAAACGTTGATTCCCTTCTCAATAAGTATCCGGATGCCTTGATAGTTCTAACCGCTGATTTTAACCCTAACAGTACTAATATACCTCTATCTACCCTCGCAAGGGGCTGTGGTTTACGCAACTGGTAAAAGTACCCAACCTCGTTCCCAGGGCTTCAGTGTGGGACGAGGCGAGACACGAGGAAGCCCTGGTCCGGGCCGGTCACTTTTGCATTCTGATTGGCTAACACCATATTGTCTAAAAATAACTGAACTTGACGGTTGACAATAACAAATTACAATACAATTCAACATTTGTATTTTTATGATTCTTGTGTGTACGAGTATGCTTTGCAAAATAATCTTTCAAAGTCAAAGACGTTTTCCCGATTGCACGATTTACTTTCGCCTCGGCCGGTTACAAAACTCAAAAGCCGTGTCGAAGTGAGCTGTGATGTTTCCTGACAAAACAAGAAATGTCTACTATTATTTAAGTTTTCCTTGTACAGTATTTATTGGTGCAGATGTCTGATGAAATACTACGCGTATTGCATTGTAGTAATATTTTAATTTACAATATTTTGTACTGACAAATAAAAGCAAGACAAACAGTTAAATGAACTTTTTGTAAATAGGTAATTTCACGCCCCTCATGGAAACCAGCCTTCCAACGGCTGTTGAGGCTAGCGTGGTCTAAATAAAGTTTTGTATGTATATGTATGTAAATGAAACTACTAAATTAATTTAGGCCCTGTTTACTTTATTGCTGTACGCCTAGGCCGACAGTTTCAGAATACGCCGAATACTTGAAAATTGTGACTATACGATAAAATAAAACAAAGATTGTGAAGGGGATGAAATTTGTAGGCAAGCATTGCTCCTGAACGGCAAGTGTTGGTGTCCGGCGAAACAAGCGAACCGTATATTCCTGTTCAGCGTAAACAGGTTACGCGAGGTTTTATATTTGTGTTTATTTAATATATTGAACTAAGTCAGATCTATAAGAGGCGATTTCGTGTGAATCACCACTTGCACGGAGACGCCTAGATGCAGCTTGGATGCAGAGCTTTGCCTGTAGTTGAAAATCTCCAGAAATATCGGTATATCTTAGAAAACATAGACGGGATCTTCATAGATTTTAGCTGATTCGTGTCAAACTTCGCTCTACACATAAATAATATCGATTGAGAAGTCTTTTGGCTGTTCATTTGTTTCGAAAACTTGTATATTTCATTAAAGAATATCTCGCCACTCCTTGACGAGTAGCTGTCAAATACTGCCATTTTTTGACGTCACGTGACCGGCCCGGACCAGGGCTTCCTCGTGTCTCGCCTCGTCCCACACTGAAGCCCTGGGAACGAGGTTGAAAAGTACCTACACGAGGAAACAACATATTAGATTGGTGCCTTGTAAATAAACCCAAACTCTTTGGCGAACCAGTGCAACTCCCAAATATTGGTAATAGCGACTACTTCTCGATACTTGTTACTCTTTCTCGACAGGCCGGTTTCGTATTACATTTCGATTCAATTTTTCTAATATAAATATCTCGGCGAGTATTTACCCCCCCTTTTAAATAAATGCCACCATTGAAATCCTCACAATATAACCTTTCGAACGGGGGGTCAAGTGCCGTCAAAACATTACACAAACCGAAACAATCATATATTTATACTCACCGCTTCGCCAAACATTCAAATGAGAAAATTAGAAAAAGTTGAATATATTCTAAACTTTGGTGTCATTTCCTGAAAGGATATATGTGTAAAATACTCTTTGTATTCAAGCGCTTTCGTGTAGAAAGTTTCGTATGAATACGGCGAGTAGAAATATTTATTTTGAATTTTTCAAGTATCGGGTTTTACTCGCACGCACTTGTATTACGTAATACTTGGCCAATAAGGAGCTCCCTTTAGCCGGGATGACGTCAAACTCACGCGTATGGGTGCACTTTGACCTATAGAATCCATTTCTGGCATTTCCAGAGTCACGCGACACAAGCGTTGCATTGTTTTGACGGTTTTTCGTCGTATTTTCGGCTTTACTGGCGTAGCTTTACTGGCGTAGCTTATGGCTTTCGCGTAGGCACCTTTCATGGCACCCTTCCATCTTTTAACATACTCAGTGTGGTTTCCTTTCGATGCAGTGGGCGATGTTCCAAACATAAGGTTCACGGGTAGTCTGGGTAGTCGACCAAACAGTAAGAACGGCCAATATCCGGTGGCGTGGTTAACAGTGCAATTATATGCATGCACCACTTTGTTTACCGAGTCCTTCCATTTACTCTTTCTATCTTCGGGTAAGGTTCCCAACAAGGCAACAATGTTCTGTTGAACCGTTCAGCTTTCCCATTCGTTTGAGGATGGTAGGGAGTAGTTCTGATTCGTTTAACTCCAATTAGTTTCTCTACCTGATGGAACAGTTTATTTTCGAATTCCCTTCCTTGGTCATGCAAATTTTTTGCTGGGAAGCCAAATCGGAGTACAAAGTCATTGCACAGTTTTTCAGCGGCTGTTGTACTCGAGGTTGTTCTTGGTTGCGTATGCTTGGGCAAAACGGGTAAAATGGTCTACGATGACCTGTATATATAGCCACCGGAGCTTCTCTCTAGGTGCATATAGTCAATCGAGACAAGTTCGAATGGTGACGAGGTTTCTATATTGCAGAGTGGTGCACGGGCTTGCAAAGTAGGTTTCTGTTGTTTCAAACATCCGCAAACATATGTCACGAAATGGGTGATGTCATTTTCCATGTTAGGCCAGTGGAATTGCTCCCTGGCTAGCTGCACCACCCTTTTTGCTCCCAAGTGGCCCATCTCTTGACGAAGTTCCTTGAAAATTGTTCGAAGGAACTTTCCTGGCAATACTAATTGTTTATATGGTCCACTTTCTCGTCGCAGCAAACCGTCTTCCCCAATTTTTAGTTTGTGCCATTGTCGTAGCAATGCTTTTCTACCAGGTAGTTCTCGTCTGCAATCTTCATGTGACGGACGTCGTCCTTCAACTTGAGAGTTAGTACTCTGCCAATTGTTTGGTCTTGCTTCTGGGCCTGAAGGATTGTAGCTTTCGCGATGGCTGCAGGTTGGTCTTCTGCGAGAAATTCACTGTCAGTCTCCAAGAGATCTTCGTTGTGCGTAAGTGCAGAGATCCACACAGTGTCACCGTGACATTGCGCCCCAATCCCATCAACGCTTGCCTGGACTTGGTCTACGGTCAGATCTTCAGTACATTCTTTCATATAAGTCGTAAAATCCAGTGGCATTCGCGAGAGTGCATCCGCATCCTTCTTTGAACGTCCTGGTCTGTGTTTTATATGTTGAACGTGAAGTCAGCTAATTCAGCAATCCAGCGGTGACCCGTTGCGTTCAACCTGGGTGTTGTCAACACAAACGTAAGTGGGTTGTACACAGTAAAATGAGGGTCATAATAAAGATGGTCACGGAAATGTTCGCAGACTGCCCACTTCAGAGCTAGAAACTCCAGTTTCCCAGAATGGTAGTTCTTTTTTGCTTGGCTAAGGGATCTTGACCCATTTCCCATTACGCGCATTTGATAATTTTGTTTCTGGTGTAACACCGCCTTTAATCCCTCTAACGAAGCGTCCGTCTGTAATATAAATGGTTGATTCTAGTCGGCATACCCCATGATTGGTGGGCTTACTAAATGTTCTAACGATTCTTTAAGGGCATTTTCATGTTGTTTCTGCCATACAACTGGTTTTGATGATGGTATAACTCCAGTTTTCTTCGACTTATCTTCTCTATTAACGGGCTTGCTCTGATCGGTTGGTAGACCTTGTAACAAGTCAAACAAAGGTCGAGCAGTTCAAGAAAAGTCAGGAATGTATCTTCGATAATACCCAACAAGTGCAAGCTGTTTTCGTACCTCTCCTAGGCCTACGTTCGTTGGCACAGAGACTTATAAAGCTGTCACAGCGTTAACTTTCGAGGGATCTGGTTTATAAACTTCTGACGAGACAATCTGTCCAAGATAGTGCACTTCTCTCTGAAAAAGCCTGCACTTTTCTGGTTTCAGTTTTATTCCGTCAGCTCGAAGTCGTTGTAGTACTTGACAAACGTGATTGACATGTTCTTCGAATGACTTGCTGAAAACAATCACATCATCCAAGTATGGGATGCAAATTTCATCCCTCAAATCGTGCAGACAATCTTCCATGAATCGCTGAAATTCTCCAGGGACGTTCATCAGACCAAACGAGATGCGCACCCATTCGAATAGTCCCCACGGAGTAATGAATGCTGTTTTGTAACACTTTAGCGTTCCCTATTTCCCCTGCTTTCGAGAATGATCCAGATTCCTCTTGCAACATCTTTTGTACTATTAATTTTTGTTAATTTGAAAGTCCTTTAAGGTCAACATTTGGAACGTAACTAGATGCACCTTAATTGGTAGGTTCTGGACAATCCTGTCCCTCTTTGGTACTCACAGCACTGGCAATGTCCACTTTAGTTTTTTCACCAAAATGTCCGCTTTCTTTTACCATTGTCGGTTGAACTTGTTTCACCACCAGGGGTGTTATGGACCTGACCAATTGGATTCTACCTACTGTAACACTGTTCTCTTTCGCAAAATAATTGTGTGCTTAGTGGGGTTATGTACCTGGATATTTACTCGTAATCCTCTTGAAATCGTTGCCAGTGTCTCTGGAACTTCAAGACCATCAGACCACGGCCATTCTAGGTTTGGTTCGAACAACACCGGTATCCTGTCTTCAATAGGACCAACATTAACATGGCAGGAAAATCTGACTGATTGGGCAGGTGGAATAACTACAATCTTGGCCAAAAGTTCGTAGAACGACAAAACAAATTCGCAACTTTTTAATATACTTGGGTTTTAAAACCATTTTGCACCTCCCCCCCGCTCCCCCCATTCAATGTTGCTCTCCCACATTCCTAGTACACGTACAATTTTGTTGTAGAGTAGGTCAGATCATAAATATACACGAAACGGCAACATTGAATGGGGGTAAGGGGGGAGGCCTTAAAAATGCATAAAAATTTATCGTCGTCCTACGGTTTATGGCCAAGATTGTATGTCCCTTTTCGTAGTTTTAAGTACAGATAGCTCAGTTGTATGAATTGAAGTGATATTCCCTTCAAAATGCAACTGCGATTTTTGTTATGCAACATTGTATTTTGATACACTATTTTTCTATAACAAGGCTGTATTTTGGAACACTGTATTACGCAAGCACACTGCAATCTGCAAGCTTGTATTTTGGAACATTAAATTGTGTAAGATGGCATTATGGAACATAATATTATGCAAGCTCTTATTATGGAACATTAAATTGTGAAAACTTTTATATATTATGCAACATTAAATTGTGAAAGCTTTTATATATTATGCAACATTAAATTGTGAAAGCTTGTATTATGGAAGCGTGTATTGTGAAACACGCGACGCGCGAGTCGAAACACGTGCTCGTTCGAACCGCGTGTTTATAACGGTCTTGAAATAAAAAATGGCTGATCAACAAACAAATGACACTGGTCAGTCAAACTTTACAGAAATTGTCAGCTTGTTGAGACAAGAGGAATCTTTGCTTTCAGGTGGTTCTAATATAGTGATAACACAGTAGCTAATAATACAAATGCATCATTAAGGCCACCTAACAGTTCAATCGTGACAGAGAATTCGAATGTGGATAATGTGCCATCAGTAGCGACAACGTCGACAAGTTCTAATAGATCCTTGGCGATCTTTCGCTCGCGTTCTTTCAGTTACAATCGTGGATCATTTCGGCAAAATTCATCTCGTGCGTCTTCAGGTCCACCGCCAAAACGAAAACGAACACTTTCTCAGTTTGTACCCAAAGATACGTGGACCCATGAATTCTTTTGTTTGGCTGATCGCCATCAAAACTATCAACTAACTCAAGGACAAAAATGTGACCTTCAGCTTGCTAGGTTAGGAAGAAAAGTTTTTAAAAAAGATGGTAGTGCATCTGCTCTTGTGGCCAAACTCGAAGAATATTTTCCCAAATTTCAGAATTGTGGTGGCTTTCGAAATCCTTCGTAGCGGAGCTAGCAATAAAGATTTGGTTGTAATACATCTACCACCATCTGGTTACTCTGTGCCCTTTTTGAGAGAGGCATCCTGATTAGGCCAAGCACTGGCATACATTGGACCATAGAAGTGTTCGTTTTCGTTTTGGCGGTGGAGCCGAAGACGCACGAGATGGATTTTTCCGAAATGACCCATGATTGTAACTGAAAAAAGCGAGCGAAAGATCGCCATGGATCTATCAGAACTTGTCGACGTTGTCGCTACTGATGGTACACTATCCACATTCGAATTCTCTGTCACAGTTGGACTGTTAGGTGGCCTTAATGATGCATTTGTATTATTAGCTACTGTGTTATCAATATGTTAGAACCACCTGAAAGCAAAGATTCTGCTTGTCTCAACAAGCTGACAATTTGTGTAAAGTTTGACTGACCAGTGTTTGTTTGTTTGTTGATCAGCCATTTTTTATTTCAAGACCGTTATAAACACGCGGTTCGAACGAGCACGTGTTTCGACTCGCGCGTCGCGTGTTTCACAATACACGCTTGCATAATACAAGCTTTCACAATTGAATGTTGCATAATATTTAAAAGCTTTCACAATTGAATGTTGCATAATATATAAAAACTTTCACAATTTAATGTTCCATAATACAAAATTGCATAATATAATGTTCCATAATGCCATCTTACACAATTTAACGTTCCAAAATACAAGCTTGCAGATTGCAGTGTTCCAGAAAACAAGCATGCTTGTATAATATAGTGTTCCAAAATACAGCCTTGTTATAGAAAAATAGTGTATCAAAATACAATGTTGCATAACAAAAATCGCAGTTTCATTTTGAAGGGAATATCACTTCATACAGTTGGCCTCTCAGCCTTTAGGAACTCTACAAGGGCTTCGACCCTATCCCGTTCCACCCCAATCATGCTTGATGACAGTGCATCTAGATAACGTGGTTGTTCTGTGTCACAGGTAGAATTTTGGCTGACTCCTTCAATAACATTATACCCAATAATAGGTAAGTCCAATACATTCTTTGCAACCAAGAAAGGTACTTTAATCCCATAATCATGATTTGTTCCCATCAATTTAAACTCTATGTCAATCCATCCATCCATCATATGGTAGGGTTGTCCCATTGGCTGCTTTTAGATCTAGGTGACTCGCACCAAGAAGGGTCTCTACAGTACGCAATTGAGCTTTAGGCAAGTTCTTCAAAACCCAATCATGATAAACTATGGATACCTGCGCTCCAGTATCCCAAAGAGCGGTTGACTCCACCCCATTCAGGAAACATTTAACCGTGTATTTTTTCCCAACTAACCGAGCTACAGTTGCGCCTTCTTTAGGCGACAAATTACATACGTATGTTCCTTTATTAACTTCTCTATTTATAATGTTTTGTTCATTTAAGTGTGATAGTTCCTTGCACAAGGTTTTATGTTCACCCCAGTGTTTTTCTTGACACAGTTTTGAACAATACTGGAAAAATTTGCATTTACTTCATTGTTTAAACAGTATATCAGTCTCTTTTCCTTTACAGAATGCACAGGCATGGGACAAATGAGTTTGTTTGGCTACTCCCTGTCCCCCGGGCGTAGCCTCCTTTCGTTTCCCTGGGGCTTTTTACACCCCCTAGCGAAATGTTCTGTCCAACCACGCTTGTAACAATGAATGCATTTTTCCTCACCTGACTCTTGACATTTCTTAAACAAAGTACTCTTTTTCTTGCACTGGCTCCACTGATCTGGATCTTGTTTTGATGCATCTTTACCGGATATCTGCGACTTGTTAAAAGCTTCCTTTAGTGATGCTAGGTCAGACTGTACCGCTTCCAAGGCTTCGACCAACTTATTAGATTTGCCCTCCTTTTCTTGATTACCGATTTTCTTTCTCATCTTTGGATTATGGGCTTCCTGGCCAGAGTCTGGGCTATTATTAATCTGGTTGACATGTAGACTCTTTTTACCCAACACTACATTTTATTTTGTCGTTCTGTCTCAACCGAAACAGCTAGATTGACTCTGTCCATCAGTTCCTCATCATTGACACTTAGTTTCTCAAGGAGGTGGCGTAATTTGGCTCGAATGGATTCTTGTTGCAACCCAGTCTCGACAACATGAATGAACAATGATTGAACCAGTGATGGTTCATACTTTACATATCTACTGTTTGTGATGAGAATATGACTTGTTGGCGTAAATTCATAGCTCGAATCTGGAAATCTTGGGCAGATTCTTTGGGACCTTGGCACAAATTGTGCAAGTTCCTTGTAAATTTCTGTTGCAGACTTTTCCTTGCAATGTGCCCTTAAAATTTGCTTCAAAGGGGACAAGGACAACTCACTCATAATTTCTAGGTGTGAGCGCAATTTTAAACTAGGGCTCACTGCACGTATCACTGCTTCAATTATTTCAGTTTCCTTGTTTCCAGATTCTATGCCAGTGTCAATTTGTCGACCAAGACTGACAAAGGACAATCCATCTTTGTGGCTTTCATCTCTGATGGTTCCAAAAATTTTAAAGTCACGTTTAAATGCTTTGGCTATGTCCACACTAGCCTTAGTTTCAGCCTTCTTTGCTTTAGGCTCAGGCTGAGTTTCTTGAGCTTCTTCCTGTTGTCCCTTGTTTTCAACTTGATTTACAGTAGTATTATCCTGTGGATTCTCTAACGGTGGTGGTTCCAGACCAACTACATTGTTCAATTCTTCCAGTAAAGTCTTTTTATCCTCTGCTTTGTTTATGTCCGCCTCGATTTTTCTCGTATTCTTTTCGAAATTTGAAGTTTTCTAAGTCGTTCGATATTAACATTAACATGTTTTGCAACTTTAATAAGTTATTCTTTAGTCAGTCCGAATATTTCGGACTCTAGAGCCAACTGAAGCTCTTCTATCTCTGACTGTTCGGCCATGACACTTCGTCTTCGAACTTTGTTAAATATTAATTAATACACGCAACAACAACAAACGCTTAATATCAGTCTAAAATGTTCGAAATATCAGTCTAAAATGTTCTTTTACAGCACGGAAATCGTTCAAATCGTTAGAAAACAACACTTACTTTCTTCCCAAACGTACAGCCATGGAAATATCACGTCTTTATTCCAGTTAAGCGACAAATTACATTAGATTTAAGTTTACCTCTTCCAAAATGGACATCAAAAGCCTCATATCAGATCGTCAATTCCCTCCAAAATCAGAAATTTTCGCTCTTGAACGCCACAATTCGACGTGAAAGAACCCGAGTGGCGTCCTGGCAGGATCGCCAAAATGTTACCGATGTAATAATCAAATGATTAAAGAAAACAACGATAAATTATTAATATTTTTATTATTTCAACTTGAAAGTTTTTTTAAATTTCCTTCGCACTTCTGAACGGTCTGACGTCATGTGACACCATCCAATATCCGGTGGAAGGCACCGGAAGTAAAAATAAACTTGGGGGTAAGGTCAGTAACTCTCACAATTGTAATGATATGACGTAATACGGACTGCATGGAAACGAGGGCAGCCTCGTGGGACAGGGACGAGAGAGTTTTGCATGTTTTACTTGTAGTCATACTAGTGTGAACTATAGCTTAAAGGAATAATAATAACTTAACATGGTGTTAGGAGTAATTAAACCTTACTAAACGAACCTACGATGGCATCGTCGATACCTGCACCAAAACCACTCAGTTTCACAGGAAATGTCGCGGAGAACTGGAGAAAATGGCTCCAGCAATACAAGTTGTTTATGGCCGCCACGGAGAAGAACAGGAAATCGGAAAAGCTTCAGTGTGCAATGTTCTTAACTTTAGCAGGAGAGACAGCGATTGAAATTTATAATACCTTTGCGTTTACAGAAAGTGAAATCGACAAGATTGAGCCTCTTATTCATAAGTTCGAGGCTTACTGTACGCCGAAGAAAAATCTTACGTACGAGCGACATGTATTCCATAGTCGAAAACAACACGTGGATGAAACATTCGATCATTTCCTAACAGATCTTAAAATGATAATACGAAAATGTAGTTACGGGCAGTTAGCCGACGACTTACTGCGAGATCAAATCGTGGAAGGCATCCAAAGCGACAAAGTACGGGCAAGACTCTTACGCGAAAGTGAACTTGACCTGCAAAAATGCATTGATATTTGTAGAGCAGACGAAGCGGCCACCGCTCGAATGAAATCGTTGTCAAACACATGTGATCTCAACAACGTTGATCAAGTGAATAGTAGTCGCGGAAATACGCGAGGCAACCCAAGCAGCAGCATGGACAAATCGAAATTTGAAACCAAGAAACGAGACCCCCCATCTACTTGTAGCAGGTGTGGTTATACACATGGATCAAGATCCTGCCCGGCGAATGGCAGAATCTGTCATAACTGCGGCAGATTTAATCATTTTCAGAAAATGTGTCGAAGTGAAAAACCTAAGACCAAAGTGGAAACAGTCGAGCAGCAACAAACTTCAGTAATGTCTGACGAGGATTTTATTGTGGATGCAGTGAAATCAACAACAAATATTAAGGACCCCCAAAATGTATGGATCACTCCCTTGCTAGTGCATAACACTATTATTCCTCTAAAGCTGGACACTGGTTCTGATGTAAACATCCTGAGCTTCAACGATTTCAAAACTTTGAAAGATCAACCCAAGTTACTGCCAACTAAAGTCAAGTTGACTGCATATGAAGGCAGTGAGATTCCTACGAAAGGCGAGTGTATTTTAAGAGTGCATGCCAACAGTCATAGTTATTATCTAAAATTTATTATCAGCCCTCAAGATGTCACACCAATACTAGGATTAAAAAGCTGTGAAAAAATGGGACTTATACAACGAATCCTTAAAATATCTTTGAATCCACCACAAGGTCCTATGTAGACACACCTACAGTCAAACAACCAAATGGTGATCCAATATTTTCTGATTATGCGGATGTATTTACTGGTCTTGGGGACTTACCTGGTCAAGTGCATATTCAGTTGACCCCAAATGCAATACCAAGAATTGATGCCTGTCGACGAATACCTTTTCCACTTCAGCAACAAGTTAAAGACGAACTAGACCGCATGGAACGGATGAAAGTTATTGAAAAAGTTGAACGACCCACACAGTGGGTTAATTCAATGGTTGTTGTGCACAAACCTAATGGTGCTTTAAGAATCTGTATGGACCCGAAGAATTTAAATAAGTCCATTATGAGAGAACACTATAAACTCCCCACCAGAGAAGAAGTTATGTCCAGATTTGCAGGTGCTACAGTGTTTTCCAAACTTGATGCTTCAAGTGGATTTTGGCAATTAAACTTGGACAATGAAAGTTCAGACCTGTGTACGTTCAACACACAGTTTGGTAGATATCGTTATTTACGTCTTCCTTTTGGTATTTCCAGTGCACCAGAAATATACCACCGCACAATTCACCAAATGTTTGAACATGTTGATGGAGTTGACACATCAATGGATGACATAATTATATGGGGATCCAATGTGGAAGAACATGATCAGCGCCTCCACCAAGTTTTACAAGTTGCACGGCAAAACAATCTAAAACTACGCATGGAGAAATGTGAAATCCGAGTTCAAGAGCTTACTTTCTTGGGGGATACAATCTCAGTTGATGGAATTAAACCAGATCAACGTAAGGTACAAGCAATAAACAATATGGAAAAACCAACCAACAGAAAGGAACTACAATGTTTTTTGGGGATGGTAAATTATCTGGCGAGATTCCTGCCTAATCTCTCAGTTAAAACCGAGCCTTTGAGAAAGCTTTTAGAACAAAAGAATCGATGGGAATGGCATCATGAACATGACAACGCATTTGAAGAACTGAAAAACCTAGTGTGTAGTGAACCAGTATTAGCTATGTATAATCCAAAACAACCTATTAGAATTTCCACGGACGCTAGCCGAAGTGGCCTGGGTGCTGTGTTAGAGCAGCAAACTGATGGACACTGGTTACCTGTTGCATATCATTCAAGAGCAGTAACTGATGCAGAAAGTCGTTACGCAGTAATCGAGTTGGAAACACTAGCAATAGCCACAGCTTGTGAAAGGTTCCATCAATATATCTATGGACAACAAGTAGAGATCAACACAGACCATAAACCCTTGGTTGCCATATTTTCAAAACCATTAAATGATTGCCCCCCTCGTATTGAGAGACTGCGCCTGAGATTACAAAGATATGACTTGCACCTCACTTACGTCCCAGGTAAAGAGAACTACACAGCTGACACTTTATCTAGATTACCCAACCAAGCTAAAGTTTACAGCATTACAGAAGCTGATGTACAAGTCCATGTTGAGGGAATAATGGCTACAACTTTAGTATCGGACCGAAAGAAAACAGAAATCAAGCATGAAATGGAGCAAGATACTTCGATGCAAAAGCTAATCAAAGTAATCCAAGCCGGATGGCCAGATGAACGTCAAGCTTGCTCAGGTGAACTCCAAGCATATTGGAACTATAGAGATGAACTCTGTATTCATGAAGGACTCATCTACAAAGGTAAACGCATAATTATCCCCTTAAAATTAAGAAAAGAAGTTTTATCCCAGATTCATGCAGGTCATATGGGCCATGAAAAGTGTAAAAGAAGGGCTAGACAAGTTGTTTTCTGGCCTGGTATGAACCATGAGATAGATACATTGGTGAACCAATGTGAAGCATGCCAAAAACACCAGCATCAACATCCTGTAGAACCCCTTAAACCACACCTAGTTCCAAATCGACCATGGCAAAAAGTGGCAACTGACCTATTTGAGCTGAACAATCAGCATTATATTGTTATTGTTGATGCCTACTCCAACTACCCCGAGGTGCAGGAATTGACTAGTCAGTCAAGTAAATCTGTAATCAATGCCATGAAAACAGTATTTGCTCGATTAGGCATTCCCGAAGAGGTCCTTAGTGATAATGGACCTTGTTATAGCAGTGCTGAGTTTGCCTCATTTGCTAAACAATGGGATTTTAATCACATAACTAGTAGCCCAGGATTTCCCCAGTCCAACGGATTAGCAGAACGGACAGTTCAAACTGTAAAAAACATCATAAGTAAATCGATTGAAAGCAAAGAAGATTATCAAATGGGACTACTTGTATATAGGGATACACCTCTTGCTAATGGGTTCACACCAGCAGAGTTGCTAATGGGTAGGAAAATACGCAGCAATCTCCCTATCACAGGATTAACTCTAAATCCAGCAACGCCACCCAATGTTAAAGACATAAAAGAGCAGGAAAAAAACAATCAAAAACTCTATCATGATCAGCATGCAGAGAAACTCTCAGTACTAATTCCAGGAGATCGTGTCAGAGTAAGACAGGATGCGAAACCCCACTGGAAAGACAAAGGTACATTCTATACTAATTCCATTAATGCTAATCTTGATAATCCAAAAAATCTCTGGAAAATAATTCGTAATCTTGCTCCTTCCAATCACTCTAACTCTCCTAACCATTTGACTATTGATGGTAAGACATTGACTAATCCTAAAGATATCGCCGATTCATTTAATGATCATTTTACTAACATACGAAACTCTGTTTCGCTTAACAGCTTCACTAATAATTCAAATTGGGACTACCTTTCTAATTTTCTTTCTTCTAAAATTCCTCCAAATACAACCTTTACTATCCCCCCAATATCTGAAAGTTTTGTTCGAAACAGCCTCAATCATCTGCCTGAAACTAAAGCCGCTGGTTTAGATAGAATTGGTGGATATTTTCTTAAAATAGCTGCAACAGCTATTTCACCTGCTCTGACAAAGATATATAATCTCAGTATTAATTCGGCTAGTTTTCCTGACTTGTGGAAAATTGCAAAGGTTTCACCTCTTTTCAAATCGGGTTCACTTTTTGACCGTTCCAACTTTCGCCCTATCTCAGTTTTGGCCGTTATCTCTAAGATACTTGAACGCCATGTTCATAATTCTTTTTATCACTTCCTAACTGAGTATAATCTTCTTGTTGAAAATCAGTTTGGGTTTAGAACATCTCGCTCATGTGAATTAGCAGTCACTCATCTTACTGATAAAATTTTAACTAATATTGATAACAAAAAATTAAATGGACTTCTTCTTGTTGATTTCAAAAAGGCTTTTGATCTTGTTGATCATGAAATCCTAATTCTGAAACTTAGAATGTTCGGATGTTCTCCATTAGTATTGAAATGGTTTACGTCATATCTTAGTGATCGTTATCAACGCACTTATTTCAAAAACACATTATCCGATATGCGTCCTGTTAAAATAGGTGTTCCTCAAGGAAGTATTCTTGGCCCCCTTCTTTTTATCTTATTTATCAATGATCTCCCTTCTCAACTTTCACATTCAGAATCCACAATGTTTGCAGATGACACCACCGTTCTAACAGAAGGTTCTTCCATTCATGATTTAAATGTGAAACTTAACCTTGTTGCTCAAGATCTCTCAACATGGACTCAACAAAACCGAATGGTGACTAATACATTGAAAACCAAGACCATGCTCATTCATTCTCCCCAACAACTTAAGAATACTTCAGACCGTTCTCTATCAGTTACTCTTAATGGCAACATACTTGCACAGGTGAAGCAAGCAAAAGTGTTGGGTTTAACGCTTGACGAGTTTTTAATTTGGACCAAGCATATTGACAACTTGTGTTCAACAATCAATAGTAGACTTGCTTTATTACGCAGGATTAAACCCTTTTTAACTAAGGACTGTGCTCTTCGTTTCTATAACTCCTGTATTAATTCAAGTCTTATCTACTGCTCTGTAACTTGGGGAAACTGCTCAAAAACACTTTTACTTCGCATTCTTCGACTGCAAAAGCGTGCAGCACGTATTATTCTAGACGCTGACTTTTCTACTCCTTCTGTTCTTCTTTTTTCCCAGATTCGAATAATCCCAATTTTTGATCTTGTTAAATTTAGGAAGCTTCTCTTACTAATTAACATTCTCACAAATCCCAGTGCTCCATCTTCATTTAAGCAAATGTTTAAATTCTTATCTTCTATTCGACAACGGGCTCTGACTAGAGCTTGCGCATATGACCTTCAACCCCCCTTCCCGCGTACTGACTCTGGTAAACGAACATTTCTGTACAGTGCTTCCATTCTTTTTAATTGCTTAGATAGCGATTGTAAGCAACTTGCTGCTTCGCCATCTTGCTCTTCATATACTAACGCCAAACAAAAAATTCGTAAAATCTTTCTTAACAAGCTTACCCTTACTAACCATATCGAAGATCTATTTTGTATAAATTGTAAATATTTACTAAATTGTAATTGTATTCATTACTAATTATTTTTTTCTCAAATGTAAATAGTCGTAATCCTTAATACTTTTTATGCCTGTAAATATCAAAATAGTGCGAGGGCCGTATGTTAGATAACTTTTACGGTTAATACGTTTTCCCTCGTGAAATAAAGTTTCTATTCTATTCTATT